CTGAGGCTGAGGCTGAGGCTGATGCAGGCTGAGGCTGAGGCAGGCTGAGGCTGAGGCCGAGGCTGAAGGCAGACTGAGGCTGAGGCTGAAGCAGGCTGAGGCTGAGGCTGAGGCAGGCTGAGGCTGAGGCAGGCTGAGGCTGAAGCTGAAGCAGGCTGAGGCTGAGGCTGTGACTGCGACTGCCGTTGCCGCTGCGACTGTCATCGCGAATGCGACTACGACTGCGAAAACAGCAGAATTCTACAACTGGATTTTCATCTGAATCTTAAAGGGAAATGATGTTTTCGATATGTTTCTACACATCGCTGTTAGGTTGCTTTGCCGGGATAATTACACACAGGTTTCCCCGGAGTTGGGTTTTCGCCTGCATTTTTTTCCAAAACGCTGCTCTCGCTGAGGCGCCGGCCTCATTTTCGGGCCCCGTTCGTTCCGAATCGTGCTCCCGCTGCAGCGCTGGCCTCATTTCCGCCGGCGCCCGGGCTGCACGCCCGAGCTGGCGCCCTGGCCGGCGCCGGGCTGGGTCCGGAGCCGGTTCCGGCCAGCGCCGGAAAATCGAGTTCCGAGGCGGCGCCGAAAAAAGGCCATTCTAATAGACATTTTTCGTTTGAAAATGCTGAATTTCTTCTTCCGGCGCCCGGGAGGCCTCCCGGGCCCATTCCGACGCCCAGGCCGGCGCCCGAGCCGGCGCCCGGGCCAGACGCCCGAGCCGGCGCCTGGGCCGGCGCCCGGGCCGGGTCCGGAGCCGGTTCCGGCCGGCGCCGGAAGATCGAGTTCCGAGGCGGCGCCGAAAAAAGGCCATTCTAATACACATTTTCTTTTGAAAATGCTGAATTTCTGCTTCTGGCGCCCGGAGTTAGGTTTTCGCTTGCATTTTTTCCAAAAATGCTGCTCTCGCTGCGGCGCCGACCTCATTTTCGGGCCCCGCTCGTTCCGAATCGTGCTCTCGCTGCAGCGCTGGCCTCATTTCCGCGCTTCCCGGGCCGATTCCGGCGTGCTTCCGCTCGTTCCGAATCGTGCTCCCGCTGCAGCGCTGGCCTCATTTCCGCGCTTCCGCTCGTTTCGACTCGTGCTCCCGCTGCAGCGTTGGCGTCATTTCCCGTGCCATGCCACGGCATGCAATGCAATGCTAGGTTGATACTACGCTTTGCGGTGCTCTTCTACGCCATGCCATGCCGTGCTCTACAATGCATCGCGTACCCTTTCGGGATCATCGCCCTGCTTGACATCCGACTGTGCAAGTAGAGAGGGGATCTGCGCCATGGTAAGGGATGGGAGGGAGGGGTAGGATGTCAGATATGACGCGAGCGCACCTAGCTTGCCCCTCCCCATCTCCCCCCACTCCCCCTTCCCCGCTCCCCCCTCCCCCCATCCGCCCTCCCCCCTCCCCCCTCCCCCCATCCCCCCTCCCCCTCCCCCCTCCCGTCTCCCCCCCCCTCCTCCTCCTCCCCCCCTCCTCCTCCTCCTCCTCCCTCCTCCCCTCCTCCTCCTCCCTCCCCTCCCTTCCTCCTCCTCCCCCCGCCCTCCTCCTCCTCCTCCCTCCTCCTACCTCCTCCTCCTCCTCCCTCCTCCTCCCTCCTTCCTCCCTCCTCCTCCTCCTCATATATTCCTCCTCCCTCCCTCCTCCTCCTCCCTCCCTCCTCTCCTCCTCCTCCTCCTCCTCCTCCTCCTCCTCCTCCTCCTCCTCCTCCTCCTCTCCTCCTCCTCCTCTCCCTCCTCCTCCTCCTCCTCCTCCTCCTCCTCCTCCTCCTCCTCCTCGTGCCTCGTCACGACAGCTGGAAACGAGCCTGATGCCCCTAGAGGACTCCCAGATGGGGTCCGAGTAGGTGGGGTCGGAGGATCGCGAAATACAGCTGATGCATCGGCGACGTAGGCGATGCATCGGCGCTATCGGCGTGGAGAAGATCTGGCTCCGCATCAAGCCGCATCGTCGATGCATTCGGCAATGCGGAGCCTCCCTTCGATCCCATCTACTCGGACCCTATTTGAAAGGCCTGGAGCCCCTGAGACCTCCTCTCGTCGACGCGCGCGGCCGAGGGGCAAGAGCCACAAGCACTGAGCACGGCACTGTCCTCCGCTGGCGAGTAACAGGGCGCCGCCTCCAGCAGCACGTTGCCATCCCTCAGCAGCCAAGGCAGGGCACCGTCGGCCAGCCCGCCAGTCGAAGAGAGAAAACCAGGACAAACATCAACTTTCGGAGGTCCGCGTGGATTTTGTGGATCGGCGCTGGGCCCACATCCCTGGCGCGCGGAGCGCGCCGGAGACGTAGCCAGGTGGCGTCGCCAAGAAGGCCCAGCGACAATCCAAGAATCCGCCCGGACCTCCGAACAAGTGTATCTGTTTCGCGCTTTCTTCTTCAAGCCGGCCCCGCACTCGTGGAGCGCCCTGAACTCGGGCGTCCATTCATCCTCTTGGCTACATGTAAGAGTGACCCAGGCAAGACCGACGTCTGGCGCGAAGCTACCACTGAAAACCTCATATTCAAAAACAAGCGAAAACATCCCATCAAAGAGACAGGTCCTGAGGGGAACAGGTCCTGGACCCAAGGTCGTCCTCACCCATTCGTGGCAGTCCCAGGGCCCCAGGAGGGCCCCAAAGGTCGAAAGCTGCCGAAAGCCTCCCGTCGTTAGCCTGCACGACGCGAGGAGGTAGGGGACCCTCCGCGCAGTGCGCTCGGACCAGGAGCTCGAGGCGGATGAAGGCGTGGCGACGGGGAGCCCCTCCCCCTCAAGCGCACAAAGGGCGCAACACCATCAATTGACCTGGCGAAGGACCCAACCGTATGCAATTGTGAATACCGTCGTTTTTAATATCGCCTTCGGTGGATCTTCTTGTGGGGCCACTAAGCGTGTGAAGAGTGTGCCGGAATGGGGCAGGGCGGAGCTCCCTATGGGGCCACGAAACGTGCGACGGGTGTACCAGAATAGAACGGCGCCGCCATGCGGACTGCGCCACTGGGACCTCAGGTGTGGCTCCCCATGATGCCACGAAACGTGTGAGGGGTGTGCAAAAGTGAGGGGGTGACGAGAGGAGGGAGGAGGAGGGGGAGGAGGAGAGGAGAGGAGAGGAGAGGAGAGGAGAGGAGAGGAGAGGAGAGGAGAGGAGAGGAGAGGAGAGGAGAGGAGAGGAGAGGAGTAGGAGAGGAGAGGAGAGGAGAGGAGAGAGGAGAGGAACGCTGGGACCGTCTCTTCAGAACAGGGACCCAGCACCCACAGAATGGTTGGGAAAAACACTTCAGGACATCGAAACTGAGGCCCCCCAGATGAGGTCCGAGCAGATGGGGTCGGATGATCGCGCCGCATCGCCGATACATCGGCGGCGCCGGGGTCGGATAAAACGCGGGCTGCAGCACACATCGCGCCCCTCGGACCCCGTCTGCTGTGGACCCATCTGGAAGGCCTGGACGGAGAAATCGAGCCTCGAAAGCTCCACCTGGGAAGCTGATGCAGCATGCCCAGAAGCCATGGAGGGGGGGGGGGGGGGCGAGGGTCCTGGCCGCTGATCTGGTGTACAAGCTTCCCTCCCTGGGGCGTGGCGTCTGCACACTGGACGTCGCCCCGGGCGGTGGAATCCGACTGGGGCGGGGAGGGGTGTGGTTCGGTAAGTTCGCGTCGTGTCGACCAGTGGCGACCCCGCCGCTGGCGATCCAGAATCGGCCGAGGCTGAGTGACCTGACGTTTCGGAAAAGGCCCATCGTTCAAGTTTGAACGATCCCCGCGGTGTCAGGCACGAGCACCAGGGCCGACACGACACGAACCTGCCGTACATCGGGCGGCTGATAATGGGGGATGGGTGGTGACCTGCATGGAGGGTGAGGAAGAGGGCCCCTTTGAGGCCCATTACCACCCGCCCGGGTATACCAGCAGAACCGTGAGGAGAAACCTTGCTAGGGGAACGAAAAATGACATACACATAAAAACTCTGAGGTCCCCGCGGATTTCTCGGATCCGCGCTGGATCCCCCTCCCGGGGCGGCGCCGGAGGCGCCGCCAGGAGGGCCCTAGCGCTGATCCGAGAAATCCGCGCGGACCTCCGAGCTTTTATGTTCATGTCATTGTTTATTCCCCTAGAATGAATACACCAGCGAAACCTTGAGGAGAACCCTTCCCAGACATGCGACGTCCTGATTCTTTCAGTACGGGGCCCCTCGAAATCCCGACCCTTTCCCCGGGACCGGCTTTTCATCCCGAGTCGCTGCTTGACGGCCCCGAGGCCCGGCGAGGGCCCCCCGCGGCCGAAAACGGCCCAAAAACCTCCCGCCCTGATTCTTGTTACACGTCGGTCGGGAGAAGTAGGTAAAAACATGAAGCAGGATGGCGTTGAAAGTAGATCGGGCTCAGGCCCTCCCAGGGAATGACAAAACACAGCAAAGGCATATCGATTATTGAGGTGGGAAGGCGCTTGAAGTAGATTGGGATCTGGGCATCTAGAATCGGCTGTGGACAAACCTCCCTTTAGTAAACCTCCCCTTACTGAAAGCGGCCTGCGACCGAAACCGACGGACCTGGACCCGCAAAAATGACGGCCGCGACGCCCTCTCGCGAACCGAAAACGGCCAATTCCTTCATCGACGTGTCAGGGTAGGAGGTCTATCCACCTCCGATAAAAATACCTACTTTCAACGACCGACGTGTACGACACGATCTTCTGGGCCAGGAGAGCCCAGAATCGAATCGACAAGTCGGGTCGGAAGGCGACACGAGTCGGATCGGCGGAAGTCGGCAGCCGAGTCGACAAAAGTTGGATCGGCAGAAATCGGCAGGCCAGTATGCCTCCAACAAGAAAGCGGAACCCAGGTCGGAATCCCAGGTCGAATCGAATCGGAATCGGAAGCCATCGAAATCGAGTCGAATCGAATCGGAGGAGTTGAAACGAGCCCTGCTGGGCTGCGGTCCTCGGCGTCGGCGGCCCTGCCTCCCGGCGCCGGCACGAGGACGGCGCACCGCTCCGCCGCCAGGCCCCCGGCGCGCACCGCCGCCACGAGCTCCGCGGCGCCCGCCGCGCCCGCGGCCAGGCGGGGGAGGGCCACGCCCCGCACGCAGCCAGCCTCCCTCCTCCCTCCTCCCTCCTCCTCCTCCTCCTCCCTCCTCCTCCTCCTCCTCCTCCACTTCCTCCTCCTCCTCCTCCTCCTCCTCCTCCTCCAATTCCTCATCCTCCTCCTCCTCCTCCTCCTCCTCCTCCTCCTCCTCCTCCTCCTCCTCCTCCTCCTCCTCCTCGGGGCTCTCGGGGCCTCTCTTCGGAGGACTTCGTCGGTGCCCGGCAGTGTTCCCCAGGCACGCTCGCGGGGTGAGAAACAAATCACGGGGGGACGAAGGATGACGCGGAAAAACTCGGAGGTCCGCGCGGGTTTCTCGGATCCGCGCCGTGTCCCCCCTGGCAGCGCCTCCGGCGCCGCCCCTGGCGCGCTCCGCGCGCCAGGGAGGGGGGTCCAGCGCCGATTCGAGAAATCCGCACGGACCTCCGAGCTTTTATATTTATGTCATTCTTCGTTCCCCAACGTTTCCCAGGCATGCTCGCGGCGTGAAAAATCAGGACCAAGATTTGTCCTTGCTGGAGGCCTTCAGGGGCCCTCGCCAAGCCCCGATGCTGACCTCCAGGTCTGTGTGGCTCCGTGCGTGTTCACGTAGACTCGTGGTGTGTATCGCAGCGTTGCGCTCTCAGGTGAAGTGGTTGTGCCAAAACCCATCGTGAGTCACATCCGTTCCTTTTCGCCCGTGACTCCACAGTGGTACAGTCTGCCTTGACTGGACAGGACACGCGAGAGGACAAGACCCTTCAGAGGGCCACATCGCCATAGGAGTGTAAGAAGGCACGCGTCGCGAGGCACAGGACACAAGGGTACCCTTGAGCAGGAGGAGGAGGAGGAAGAGAAGGAAGAGGAGGAGGAGGAGGAGGAAGAGGAGGAGGAGGAGGACACAAGGGTACCCTTGAGCTGGCAAGGTCGACCTACTAATCCGGGCCGACTGTAGCGCGGAGCGTCTCACTCACTGCGCCGGGCGGCGCACTGCGGCCTCTGTCTCCGCTGCGCCGCGCGGCTCGGCGCGGTCTTCGACCAGAACCTGGTCTTGCCCCGTCTCTGCCGTGGCCCCCTCTCGGAGAACCACGGCGGCTCGGTCAGAAGCTTCTCTAAACGAGCGCGTTTCATTACTCCCAAAGTAGCTACTCGCAAATGGCCTGGATCCGCCGCAGGGGATCTACGATAAATTACATAAAAGCAGACATATGTTTTTCGGACGTTTGCGAGTAGGCACTTTGTGAGTAGTGGAACGCGCTCGGTGATTCTCAGGTGAGAAGCCAGAAAAGTACAAGGCCTGGCGGAAGTGGGCGCGTGCGCGGATCGTGCCCAAGAATGCGCCAGAGGACGCCCACGGCTCCGCCCTGGTGACCCTCCTGATCGGCGAGGCCTTCCATCCAGGAGGTGGACAACGACCAGATTGAGAGCAGCCTGGCGGCGAGGACGTCATCTTCTCCATCCTCGATGACCTCTACCCTGAGATGCCCGCGTCGGACCGGCTCGGCGAGGTCATGAGAGCCTGTCTTCGCCGGAGCACGGACAAGAACGAGGAGGCGAACGCCTACACTGCTCGGGCAGTGGCCGTCTTCTCCGACGCGGAGCGCGAGGGTATCATCTTGACAGACATCGCGGCAGGCATCATAATGTTAGAAGGATGCCAGTTAGAGCTGGAGAAGTAGGCTGTCGGCATGGCGATCGCCAGCGGCTCATGGCGCGAGAACGACGTTGCCTGTGCACTGCGTACCACGCATCGTGCTGGCCTGGGCAGGCTGTTGAGCTCCAGTCACCACGAGTTATATACGTGGCTGAACCGGAGACCCCACAAGATGTCTGGCCTGATGAGGAGGATCCCGAGTGCGATGCACTGCTCGCCGATATGGAGTCCAAGATGATCCAGGACCCATCGACGAGCATCTCACCATCGAAGCCCTCACCAGACAGAAAGAGCAGAGGAAGCTACATGGCAAGGTGAAGCTTGGCCGAGGTTTTTTGAAGCCGGGTCTGGAGTGCGCTGCCACAACTGCCAGATGGTCGGACACTTCCAGAAAGGCTTCAAGGAACCTAGACTATCCACGTCGACGAGCTCAATCGCAAAACGACACGGCCAAGCCCAAGGGACAGTTCTTCGTCAGGACCGACATCCAGGCTGACGTTCAGGCCGAGTGCCTGTACACCGTGCCAGTCCTGCCCATGGGAGGTCAGGCCTTCGACCAAATGCTGAGGGCCACCATCCAGCGAAATAATTTTCGGTAGGATCGGTGCCCTAAGATCGAGCAAGACATTATGCTGTCGTCGACGCCGGGGCATGCAATCCTCGACCTTGGTTGCGCTAAGGATATGGTGGGCACGGTGACATTCGACAAGCACTTCAACGACCTGCGACGGCAACATGGTCTACAGCCAGTTTGGTGGCCTTCCGCGTGCTGCTGAGAATCCCCTTACGTCGTCCACGATCGAGGATCCTGAGGCTATCTCCACGGCCGATGTCTGCTTGACTACCATAATGTGGACTGGTGGACCCTGCTACGAGGTGCTGCTTGCCAAGGGCCGTAAAAAGATCACCGAGAAGCGTCACCCGGACCTCACCGAAATATGGCTGAGATCCGGAGACGCACGCCGTGCGTGCTTGCAGTGTGAAGGTGTCCCGTGAGATCGAGAGGTCGCGCGCAGACAGGCTTCGTCCGCACCCTCAAGCAGGATGCGGAGGGCAAAGAGCTGGTCAAGGCGCGTTGGGTGACACGTGGCCTCAAAGTTCCAGGCGCGGTCAAGCTGGTAAATTGGAATCAGACTGCAACTCCGACAGTCTCTCAGAACGCTCGCATGCTCACCCTCCAGTTGGCAGCTTCGCATCGGTGGAAGCTGCAGATTGGTGACATTCGAGGTGCTTTCATGGAAAGCGATCCCCTGCAACGACCTGACGGCCCCCTCTTTGCGAAGCAGCCGCCAAGGGGGCTTCCTGGCCTTCATCCGAATCAAATATTCTAGCTGGTGTTGCCGCTTTACGGCCTAGACGACGCACCCGGCCGGTGGTATTCGAAGATATCAGGATGGTTCACCGACCAGGTCTCCAACGCTGGCAAGGCATGGACGCACTCCAAGCTCGATCCGTGCCTCTTCGTTCTTCGAGATGATCAGAGCCAGCTCGGCGGAGTGCTGGTATTCCACGTCGACGACGTTCTGTTTACAGGCCAGGGGCTGACCTTCGGCGCGGCCGTCCAGAGGCTCAAGACCAAGCTTCCTTTCCACAAGTGGACCATCGGTGAGGGCAAGTACTGTGGCAGCTTGCTGAACCAGGACCAGGATACCTTCGACATTACCACCCACCAGACTACGCCCTACCAGGAGCTCAAACCATTGACAGTGCCACTTGGCCGAGGCACGATACGCTGACTTCGCCATCACGATACGTGAGCGCTGGCTCGTCAAGCATCCAAGCCTGATGATCACATCACGGGTGCCTCCTCACAATCTACTGTGGGCGACCGCAGGGTAGCCGTGGACGTGGTGATCGGTCGCGAGGGCTTGTCCAGGTCAGGGACCACACCGAGGTGGGCGCCTACAGATCGTCAACTGGCAGACGGGCCGACCAAAGATTCGGCCGAGCCGTGCCATCCGCTCCGAGGTGTCGTCAGGACCGGCCACTACCAGATCTCCGAGGAAAGCCTGATGCTCGACCTGGCAAAGGCTGAAGGTCGAAGCCGAAAGTCCGCTAGTGGCAACGTGGAGGTGTGCTGGGTCGGAGTGATGATCAGTGCGGGCTCACTGTGAGGATCTCCAAGAGTTGTGTTTCTCAGATCGGAATCCAATAGGGACTCTGTGCGCCACACACTGAACGGGCCAGACCGTCAGCCGCTACGTTGTTGGATCATCATGACGAGAGATGTTTCTGGAGGGAGATTGGGACACCAACGACGACCAGGGTCTGCCGTAGCTTGTGGCCGAAGTTCCAGACCAGCCACTCGATGTTGTTCGCTTTCAGCTCGCTCCAAATTCTTCAACATGATGGTGCACTTTGTGGCCTGCAATGGCCACAACTCATGCCGCACATTCATCACGACGCTTGTCTACGCCAATGAGGAGGGTGCTCCTACTCACAACTGGTCGTCCACGAAGGGCCAGATCTCAGCTAGTCTCACCCGGGGGCCCAAGTACGACAATCATCGCGTCGGCATCACCTACACGCTGACGACCAAGCGCCTGCAGGTCACTGCACCCGCTGCCATCATCAACGCTGTCGAGGTCATGCTACGTGATCTTGAGACGCGCTTCGCCCAGTTCATGGCTACCGGGGACGACTCTGTGTTCAATGGTACGCAACCTTCTGCCTCCCTTGCCATCGACACGCTGAAGGATCATACGCCTCACGGTTATGTCATCCCGTCCGATCCTGAGGAGGCACTCGAGCAGACGACAAAGCTGGAACGTGTCAAGTAGGAGGTTGACCTGGGCTTCGAGCTCATCCATGACCGTGGCAGTTCGAGCAGGCTGGCCCTGTCTTCTGAGGAGGTTCTTTTGGGCGAGCTTGTTCAAGAGGCGCGTTTGAGGTTGGCTACGTTCCCTACGCTGTACTTCCACTCGTCTGAGGGCCATCATGATCAAGGACTTCTCGAGCACCATCTAGGACAACTCCGAGACAGAGCCTCTCAAGATCGACGCCGACGACGCCGGCATGAAGGGTGAGGGGAGCGCAAGTCCTCTCGAGCTTCGCGTCGCTGAATGGCAGGATGGTGGACAGCCACGCCTCCTGATGCAAAAATTCTCCAGCCTGGTGAGGTTATTCCGTTATTTTGTCTGTCTGTCTGTCTCTCTCTCTCTCTCTGTCTCTCTCTCTCTCTCTCTTGAGCGAAATGCGTTTTGAATCGTGTTTCGACGGACGAGTTCCTGGGATGTCCTCGATCGGAATCGAGACTTCACGAACATCTAAGTTCTGGGAGTGCTTATTCAAAGACACGTGCTGCTCCATACGTGTTCATGAAAGCTCGTGTTGTATGCCGCAGCGTTATGCTCTCAGGTGCGGTGGTCGTGCCAAAACCCATCGTGGGTCACATCCGTTCCTTTTCGCCCATGGCTCCACACCTCGGACCGTCAAGAAGATGAAAAACCAGTCCCCAGGAGAAGGTCGGGACTTCTCGAAACCCAGTACTGAACAAATCTGGACATCGCATGTCTGGGTTCCAAGCCTCGGCATGCTTTCCAGCAGCTGTGCGTCGCCGAGAACGTTTCGGGTGTCCCATGAGGGCTCGGTCCCAGGCCGTGCGGTGACCCTGAAGGCCCCAGTCGCCCGAGACGTCCTCGGAGAGCAACCCGAGTCCCAAAACCGTGCGGTCACCCGAATCCCCACTGACTCACCACACGGTGTGGTCACCGCACCGTTTGGGGAGCACCCGAGCGTTCCAGGGGTGCCCGATATCGTCCCGAAGGGCCACCGGAGACCCGAGTTGCGACCCAAAAGCCAAACCTCCCCAGACACCAAGGAGCGAGGTTGAAGGTGGTCTCTGGCGTTTGCGGCCGTTTCTGGAGCTCCTCGTTGCCACGGCCGAATCCCGCTCGAATTCCTGGCCAGCACGCACATCCAACACTTTTTGCGCCGTTCGAGGTTCGAGGATCGAGGATGGAGGTTTCCAGGAGAGGTCCAGTCATCGAGTTTTGAGACCCAGATGCCAGACGTCCAACGTCCAGAACAAACATATGGTTTTCATATTTTCAGCCTCTGGGAGCGCTTTCGGGCTCCGATTGGGATGAGAAGCCGACCCTGGGAAAAGGGTCGGGACATCTAAGGGACCCCGTGCTGAAAAAGTCAAGGCATCGAATGTCTGCCTCGGCTCAGGATGAAGAGCTGGTCCTGGAGAAAATCCCCAGGTCTCGGACCCGTTTCCCTCGGGACCCCTTTCCTTTATGGCGACAGCCTCGGCGGCCGATGCTGCCGCCTCCCGCAGCCACGCCTACACCACATGAATCGGCACACAGACGCCCGCTGGTGACTTCTCTTCCTGTGTCCTCAGGGAGGGCGGATGGCTAGCGGCACCTGGTGGCGAACTACGCACCGCCACCCCCCCTGAGGCACAAGAGCAGTCCACCAGGGGGGGCGTCTGCGCTGATATGTTCTGTGGCGGAACACCTCGTGCTCCTTCCCGGGCACCGCCGGCAACTCCAGCACCACCTGGTGGGACACAGAGAACGACACAAACACGTAAGCTCTCAGAGGTCCGCGCGGATTCTCATGTCCTGCGCTGGGCCTCTCCTCCCCAGGAGCGCGGAGCGCGCCAGGGTCGGCGATGGAGGCGCCGTCGGGGTGGGGAGGTTTCAACGCCGACCGGAAAGGTCGTGCCCCCCCAGAACGCTTCAACACAAGGAGACCCTGGCTGAACCCTCTGCAGGCTTTTTACCCTGCTCTTGTTGCGAGTGTTGCACTTACTGTTTCGTTGCCTCAAATGCAGTCAGGCGGCTTCCTACGTGGCCCCCCGAGAAGGAGGAAGACAAGGAGGGGGAGGAGGAGAGAAGGGAGGAGAGAAGAGAAGGAGGAGGCGGAGGCGGAGGAGGAGGAGGGGAGGAGAAGGAGGAGGTGAAGTGAGAGGAGGAGGAGGAGGAGGAGGAGGAGGAGGAGAAGGAGGAGGAGGAGGAGGAGGGAAGGAGGGAGGAGGAGGAGGAGGAGGAGGAGGAGGAGGAGGAGGAGGAGAAATGATGAGGGGAGAAGCGATCCCAAAACCACTGCCTGCAGGCTCAGCTGCCTCGCCCTGAGCAGCGCGCTCCGCGCCACCGCGCCCAGGGCGTCCCTCTCGCCTGAGCGGCCGCCGACAACCAGGCGCACGGCGTTCAGACCCGGCTCGCCGAAGAGCCCAGGCACGGCCCCGATGGCCTCCAACTCGGCGCACGCCCCGGCCTCGCAGGGCGGAGCCGAGACCCAAAACCGGAACGTCCGGTCGGCCATGGAAGCGCATCGGGTCGGCAGATATCGGCACTCCTGCAGATCGGAAGGCGTCGGAATCGGCATCCGCTGGCCTGGGTCGAGGCCAGCGCAAGAGGAAGTCCAAACCGAAGTCAGAATTCTGGGTCGAATCAGGTCGAGAGCGAAATCCTCGAAGTGGAATCGATTTGACTCGACAGAGTTGAAATGTCTCCTGCCTCGTCCAAGGATGCCAGACTCAAGGAGACGCCGCGCCAGGGCTTCGCGTCCCAGAAACACTCCCGGAACGCGTTCAGGGCGCTCCTGAGGTCGTCGACGTGGTCGTCGGACGAGCCTGGATAGTCGTCCCCGAAACGCTTGTCGAGGTCGTCCTCGTCCTCTTCGTCTTCTTCGCCTGCGGCATCATCACCATCACCCTCTCCCTCTTCTCCGCTTTCTTCCTCTTCCTCCTCGTCTGGCGCCTCGTCCAGCATGCCTCCGACGGCGTTCGCCGCATGCCAGCCGAGGTTCCACAGGAGCGCAGAGATCGAGTGGCGCAGGTTTGGCGCCAGGACACCTCCATGCTCCTTGAGAGCTGAAGTCGCCGCCTCGAAGCTCCGGTAGTGCTCTTCAACCTCGCCGCGCTGCTCCTTCAGGCCCCTCTTGCCTCCCGGGGCGGAGGCTGGCCAAACCCGCGCGGCTGTGCAGTGCAGAGCCGCCGACGTGGCCATGTCGGTGACTGCCCTGACCACCTCTGCGCCCTCCCTCTCCCCATGGGGGCCCTTTTCCGGCGGCGCGTACTAGGGCGGTGGCGTCAAGGGAGAGGCCATCTAGGAAGGCTGGGGGGCTTCTTCGAAGCCAGGGGCCACCTTAGGACCAGGAGGCACCTCAGAGCGCCTATGAGAAGCTGGGATAACTGCTGGCGTACCATGTGAGACCTGCTCTAGACCAGGAGCATACCGTAGACGGACCTACCCTTTCTCTGACCCTGTACTGCGCCGAACGCATCGGCCGCGTTCTCTAGAGACGCAAACATACCGCATGTGTCGACATACGTAGCCACGCCCCATGAATCTATAGATGTGTGTATTTATATATATATATGTGTAATCTAGGCGCTTGTGGCCAGGAAGTGTAAACGGTCTTTGGCATAGACCACGCAGCGGGCAGGCACTGACCTCCAAGATAGTTGCTAACAGGGCCCCTTGCCTGCTTAGAAGCCCCCCTGGCCTTCTTAGAAGGCCGCCCACTCGCGCCAACCCCGCCGTGCGCTCCGCCCACCTTCCACGGGCGGCGGACCCATCCGCACCCGTGCCCCCGCGGCCTGGACACCGAGGCGCAAGCCCCATGCGTACAGTCAGTCAACCCGTGCAGTCAGGATGCGCGATAAGGATGCAAGGGCCTTGGACGCCCGATTCGAAGCTCTTCCAGCGGGGCGCAGCCAACGAAAGTGTCCAAGGACGGGCCCAGGAGGCAAGGCTGCAAGGGCACCCTTGGCGAGGTTGCCCATCCTTGCTGTGCGGGTTGACTGTGCTCGACCCCACGCACGGCAGGCTCGCATCGTGCCGACTTCGGCGTGACCTTGAACGACCAGCCGCTCCCGAAACCGCGGTGCCGTGCATACGCGACCCCACGTGCGTACACACTCCGCGCGGGGCATCCGCGCAGGGCCGCCCCACCGTGCGCGGGGCCGCCGCCGAGGAGTCCAGACCGCGAGGCCGCGGATGCGGACTCGAACCCCGCCCACGGCCTTTGCCCAGCGCTCGCCAAACACCTCCCACGCCTCGCGGGCCTCCTTTCCGGGGTGCGCCGAAGGAGGGGGCCAGGAAGAGGGGGGGCGCACCATGACCCGAAGCCTTGTGGATGCCATGACAGTGGACACCCTAACAATCCTATCATTGAATTAAACATGTGTTTAAGATTCTAAGCAAATGTTAAACGTGTTTCGAGCATGCTCCATACATGTTTGACTGAGGGGCAACGAGAAGGGGGGGACTGGCATAGGGGGGATACATGGACCTGGAATCGGCGATACATCGCCGAGAAATCGGCGATAGGCCTCTATAGGCCTCCGATCGTAAATTCCCATCTTCATGGGCAGGTTGGGGCTATCAGACCTCTATCGGCGATCAAGGGGCGATTGGAGATCGATGCATCCCTCCTATGCCTATCCCCCCCTTATCGCTGCCTCTGATTAAGACATGTTTAAAACATGTTCTAGGCATCTGGAAGCTAGTTGGCATCATGCTTCCTCGCGCCTGTGCGCGGACGGGGGAGGGCAGGGAACGCGCTGCAAGAGGAAGCGGGGCCATGACATCCGGGAGGCCTCTCGGCCCTGGCGCCAGGCTATCCACACGTGCGCTCTCTCTCGCGGCTGGCTGGTCCAACACAGCGCGGGCATCCGCGGGATGCGCTGGGCAGATTGCCACCGAGCGTGTGCCGAAGGGGGGGGGAGTGAGGAGTGCGTGAGTGACTGGCTCGTGGAGTCCTATCCCAGGCCCTGGGTGAAGGCTGGGCTCTGGTAGCCATGGCGCGCAAGGGAAGGAAGGATGGGACGAAGAGAGCAGAGAGACGATAGAGGAGGAGGACGAGGAGGAGGACGAGGATGAGGACGATCAGGGGCTGGTGACGGATGCATCAAAGTAACAAGTGTGCACGACAGGAGACAGGCCCATGCAGACGCCGCAGGCGGCCCGCTTGGGGCTTAGGGGTGCACGCGATCTACACACACACACACACACACGCACATAGACGCACGCACACACACACACACACACACACACACACACACACACACACACACACACACACACACACACACACACACACACACACACACACGCACACGCACACGCACACGCACACACGCACACGCACACGCACACGCACACGCACACGCACACGCACACGCACACACGCACGCACGCACACGCACACGCACGCAGACGCACACACGGGCAGACAGACAGACAGACAGACAAACAGACAGACAGGCAGGCAGGCAGGCAGGCAGGCAGGCAGGCAGACAGACAGACAGACACCCTCCTCGCCCCCCTCTCGGACGCCCCCGATCCTCGGCCCTCTGGTGCGCCAGCAGCGCGCCCGGGAGGCCCTCGCGGGCCGGGCAGCCGCCGCGGCCGCCCCTCTCCGCGCACGCCAGGGCGGCGCGCCACGCCTCGCGGAAGCTGAGGAGCAGCAGGGCGTGGGCCACATCGTAGGGCACCTTTTGGGCGACTCCGAAGGGTGTGGCTAGGGGGCCACATGCGAACCCTACCCCATCCCCCCCACGAGTTCTCAGGGGGAGGGTGGGGTTCATTTCGTTCGGGAGCTCCCGAGCGAAGTGAACCCCACCCTCCCCCTCAGAAATCGTGGGGGGTAGGGGTAGGGTTCGCATGTGGCCCCCTGGTGGCTCGCACAGAGTATGGTTGGGCTCGACAGAGCTCGCCGCCGCGCCCCGAGGAGGCCCGGCGAGGGCAGCGGGGTGCCCGCCCGAGCCCCGACGACGCGGAGCGCAAGCCGCACCGCGGCGCGACCGCACCCTTTGCAGCCCCCGAGCCTTGGCGAGGGCCCCCGCCGCCGTCTCCTCGTGCTTTTCGGGAGCGTGAGACATGGCGATCGGGGCGCGGGGCCCCCGCGCGCCCCACCACCGCCCCCTGGGCCCGCGCGACCGCGCCCCAGGCCAGCAGCTGCCGCGGAGGAGAAGGGGGCCGCGAATGCCAAACGCAGCGTGATGCACGTCGGCAACCGTGACCCGAGATGCCTGGGGAAGGGACCCGTCGCACGCAGCAGCGCACGGGGCGATGAGCCATGACTGCGCGTGGGCGCCGTCCTCACTGAAGTGGTCTCGCCCACCTCTCCAAAATCGTTCCCAGCGGCACGACACTTTGTTCAATATTAAACCGTTTTGTTCTCTGATTCGGAATTCTACAAATTAGTACCATCGTTGACCATGCAGAACAGCAGTATCTACGGTCTTGCGCTCAAGCATACTCCACTCCCCCGGGCAATGACTGCGCAGGCTCATCTTTGAAATTGGTCCCTTCTTGAAGACCAGCCGTTAATGAGGGTGAGGCTGAAAGCATCTTCGTAGCCATCGAAATTCAAAACCATCAGCTCTGCATCAACATACTCAAGCAGCCCGCAACGCATGAAATGGGCTTTGCGGTATGTTCGCGAACATGCGACCAAAGGCCCCGATCGGCTTTTCAGTCTCGACAGCGGCGCGCGGGTTAAGCGGGAGCGCCCCCAGCGACGATAAAGGCAGGATCGTATGTAGCGTGTTCGGCGCATGGCTGACGGCACATGGACTCAGACGCCCGAAGCCGCAAAACCTCGAACCCCGCCACTTTACTTCCGCCGGATTCCGTCAAAGGCGAGTGGCGCCGAAATCGAAGCCCGTTCTGGAGCGCCTCAGATGGCCACTGCGTCTGGCTTGTCCAGACTTTGTTATTGCTGTCGCTGTTGCTGCAGTGGCTGCAAGTGCGTCACAGGCATGCACCCCAGCGTCGAAATGGGGAGGGGCATGGCATAGAGGCCAACCCAAATGATGAACGTATAAATCAACCAGAGTACCGCGAGGCAGTGAGTGGAGTGTCCTCATGCCCCTTCGCACCCCACCATTGAGTATGTTAGCCTGCGTGGCCCCCGTAAAATGGGCTCGCGCATGCTCGATGTGCACCCTAGAAGGCGCGATGTGGGTTGAAAGATGCGGCGCGTTCCACTTGGTGCAATGCATGTGGCGCGAGCGGTGTGGCGCAAGCCATATAGTGCAAGCTGCGGGGGCTCGATCTACGCGGTGCAATGTGTGAGTTACATTCTAAATGCTACTTCGAGCAAGCTCTGGAATGCAATATATGTTGTGCAACCTACGGGACGCAATTTACGCGGTGCATGCTACGTGGTGTAATTGACTTCGCCACGAAAAAGGTATCAACTCCAATGCTCGCGCGCACACCCCACCCTCCCATCCACAACTTGTCTGGCAAAACCGATTCGATCACGACTGCGGTTTCCAATCGGAACTGGCTAGCGCGTCTCTACGGCCTCACTCTGCGCGCGCACGTTCGCGCGCAGAGTGACCAGCTGGTTTGGCGCAAATGATGCGGCCGCGATGGCAATTACCGACGGGAACTACCCAGCGCGTCTCAGAGGCCGCACCAGCGCACGAACACGTCAGGCGGGTCTGTGACCCGGGCGGGCGCGATATGACGTCGGCAAGGGCGGCAACGATGATGGCAGTAGCGATGGTGATGGTGATGACGATGATGACGGCAAAGCCTATGACTGCGCCGATGCTGGGAACAAGGATGAAGATGATGTCCATGTGTCGGTGATGAAGATGCTTGTGCTAATGATGGCGGCGATTGCTGTGATTGACGATGACGACAACGGCGGTAACGCGATGGAACTGATGAGGGTGATGAGGAAGTGCGCGCAAAGGAATTAAATCAGATGGTGGCGAATATGTGTTAGAAACCGATCATAGTTTCATATAGTGCTGCAGAGCTATATGTTGAAATGCTTCGAGAACCAATGGTCTTGGACGGAATTCGGCACGCGCGCGTGGTGGCGCGCGCATGTAGCCCGCATGCTAGACCAAGGCGGATGCACCGCGTGGTGAGACGAGAATGCGGGTCCTGGACGAGATACGGACCCCCGGAGGGAGGGCCAGGAGGCAAATATCAGTGAATGCCCCATGGTCCTTCAATGAATGTGCATTGTTGCGAAACCCGTCTTCCGACCGCTGCGAGGCCGCCCCAAGATGGCCCAAGAGGACCCTACGAGGGGCGATGATACTATGAAGTTTGATGTACATCATCCGAGCCGCATCATGTCCAGCAGTCAGCATTAGGTCGGGCATATCCCCTTCCAGGCAAATGTGGGACGAAGAAGTTTAAAAATACCCCAAACACATCGTTCCTGTTTAAACATGCCCCATGGTCAAAACATCGTTCCTATTTTTTGCTATTTTCGAATATTCCTCCTGTAGAGGGGCAGGCCCGATTTAAAGCCAGCATCCAGGAACAGCGTAGACAAATTGGCCTGCAGGCTGCGCGTGTGGATCATCTAGCTACCCTGACGCAACCCAGTCCTGGCAACATTCCTTTGTGATATTTTTGTGGGAAACATTATCGCCACCCTGCAGGATTCGCCACGTTCGCTACCTTGACTGGGTTGAAGCCCTGCTCCTTTCACCAAATCGTTGGTTGCCTTAGCTGGGGCGGGTTCCCACTTTGAAAGCGGGCCCTCACGAAACATACAAGTGACCCGTCACCTTGGCGTAGACACTAAGCGAAGTGTCCTCAAGACCTCTCAGGCTCTGTATTGTGCATGCTTCTTCGGAGGCCCCGAAGACTCGCGGCAGGTCGAACGGAATTGCAGCCCCCCTCCAACCGATCAGATTCGCTGTGCAGGCAAATGCTGGTGTGATGGCCCTTGTTCCCGTAGCCACATTCAGAAGCTCAACACGGCCTCTTTGTGTCTAGCGGCAGTTATCGATGTAGGCGAACACTCGTGCACCATGAAGTATCCTGCCTGGCCCCCTACCTCAAACGCCTCAAACTGGGGAATGTTCGGGGTACTGGGGAGCCACCATGTGTTTGCCGGGTCGTGACGGATTGTGCTAACGTGAAGTTCCTGCACGAACTGCAGCGAAACTGCCAGACGTCCTTCAACCACACGCATGCTGGAGCGTTTCCAGAGTCCATGTCCTTGAAGACGTCATGTCCAAGCCTGGAAGACGCCATGTCCTTGAAGTCCAGAAGCCCAGGGCCCACCAGACTCTCAATGAGGAAGACACATGTGCAGAGAAGCAAGGCACTAGGCTCGGGAGCCATGCCGCGAACCTCGGGGCCAAAGCTGCCCTTCTCTGTTTTCCGAGGAACGAGGGGCTCTTGAAGGATGCCGACTTGTGTGGAGCACGCCAGGGCCGCATGCAAGCTCGCTGCGAAGCTGATGCCGCCTTTTGCCACCCTGAGCGCAAAAAAAACACCCTCCAAATTTCTCAGGCTGCTGCCCCATCCGTGGCCAGCCCAGCTGAGGGCCACATGTGGCTTACATGGAACTCTCTTTGGCGATGTAAGAAGTGCCTCCAGATCCCGCGCCCTCGTCATGGTAAGAAAGAAGCCGATCCTCGGGAAGTGCTTGGGTGCGAAGGCCGGCAACTCCGAAAGATTATCTCGCGCTGGGCAACAAGTGCATTATGTTTCCGTGCAACGACTACGCTGAGCTTCTAGTCCGCTTACGCTGTAAGTGCTATAGGCCTGTCGGAATGCTTCGAGGCCCTGACAGGCAGTGCACCCCACCCCCCCACCCCCGCCAGAAAAGTTCGGCGCCTGGGCTTGGGCGCAAAATGCTGAAGGCCTCATGGGCGTCCGTTCTCGCTAGAGCATGTGATGCGTCACGTCCACGCTTTCTGCGAGACCCCCGTACGAGGGGAAACAAGGTGGCTGAAATCCCGCAGAGGGGGGGGAATCTCTTCCCTATCATCCTGCTCCCCCCTTCCTCCCCCGCCTCCCTCTCTCATCCGTCCCATCATCCTTTCTCCCCCTCCCTCCCCACCCTCCCCCTCCAAGATCAGTCAGCATCGAATCGAAAAATCGCATCGAATCTAAAAGTGTGAGTTGGATCAGCACGGAGTCGAAATCTTAGCCGATCTGCATCAGGATGCACAACGACGCCATGCAAGCGTCGGGTCGGGTCGGATCGGCGGAAAATCGAAATCAAATCGCATCGACCTGGCCGACGTCGACATCGAATATGAACGATCAAATCGAAATGGAGCCTGCCCTCCCTCTCTCTGGAGAAACCAAAAGGTACCGATACCACAAATCTTAAGTCGAGCGTGCCCCCTACAGGGGGATTTTCGACTACAAATAAAAAAATACAAAAAAAAAATCCAAAATGGTCAAAAAATACTCCACAAACAATCCCCCGACTATGTTTTGAGTCTTTTTAGATATTCCCCCTGTAGAGGGACAGGCCCGACTTAACGCAACTCCCAAGACCTATTCTGGGGTTCGTTCTGACCATGACTTCGAGGCGAATCCAGCGGTGGCGACGAGAGGCCTCCCAGGAGGCCCAAAAAAGGGAAGGGGGGAAGGGTAGCGGCATCAGCATCTTTTCATCCTCTGATGCTCTTCCCCCCTCCTCCTCCTCCTCCTCCTCCTCCTCCTCCTCCTCCTCCTCCTCCTCCTCCTCCTCCTCCTCCTCCTCCTCCTCCTCCTCCTCCTCCT